TTTCCACACAAGAGAGATTCTAACACGCGTGGAAGATCAGGTAAGGTGAGGAGTTAGCTATGTCAAACCCAAGACTGCCTTCTGACATGCTATTGCTCTTCGGGAATGCTGGCAATCGCCCACTGTGGTTTAAATCATCACCTTCACAGGACCATTGGCAGAGAGAAAACCCCTTCTGGCGCTGGCATCGTGAAGTCTGAGTTGCTGGTGATGTTAGGGAAACATCCTGAGCTATAATCAAAGCAGCATGTGGGCACTCTCACGGCATCTTCAGCTGATGTCTGTGGCTTTCAGGACTAAGAAACCCCCCTCTGCTCACTCCATTCACAGTTTCTATGCTCAGCTCTCTTTGGATCTTGAATTTCCTGGTTTGACTTCCTACAAAGAAACCAAAATGGCACAAAGAGGCCAGCTCTCTGTGCTGACCATCAAGTGGTCCTGAGCAGATGGACAAGGGGGACTGGCTTCAGTTTCTAGCCTGCCTGCTAAATCTCCCTGCCAACTAAGAACTACGACCTTAGGAAAGCATGCTTAGGCAAGGTGAAGATCAGCGGCAGGTCTGGAGACCAAAATAGTATACGCTAACTGTCTGTGTCGGAAATGCTTAGTTATAAACGTGTAAACTCTCAAATGTCAATCATCATTTCCTGGCAAACTGCACGTTCCCCTACCCCCTCACCTCCACTGCCAATACTATTTCTGGGCACACAACAACTGGCCACCTTGCCAACCCAGATGCCCCAAGTTAGTGGCAAGACTGGCCTCTCTTGTGAATGTCTAACCTTTCGAAGTTGTAGTTTCTTGCCCTAAATGCACTTCTTAAATGCTGGCTCTGGCATACTCTCTCCCCTCCCCACTCTACCACACGAAGCTGGCAAAATGCCCTCTGCAGAAACACTGAAACATTTCTGGATGGTCTCTGTGCTTACTCTCCCTACGCATAGCAGATTCTCTCTTACATTTTTAATTTAGAGCCTAAAAAATGGCTGGCAGGCCCAAATCATCTAGGGTTCTCCGCATGAAGGCAAACTGGGCCCAGCTTAAGGTGGCACCTGCTTTCTCAGTTAGTTAGTTAACAGCAGTTAGTTAGCACGTCTAACTTGTTGGGATTTACCACTATCAGGGCCTTGATTGTAAATTTACACTAGAGCTTAGCAGAGAGATACTGATTTCTATCAAAAACAAATATATAGAGAAAAATTGAGCCCGTTTTCACTTACAAAATCAGGTTCTCAGGAACTGGGTTATATTATGCCTTGGGGACCTCAGGACAAGCTACCAGTCCTTGGATTGTCCCCTCCTCAGAGAGGAGGAAAGACAGCCTTAGATTACTCCTGTTCAGTATGTACGCTTCCCTCTTAACCTCCGAAGAAGGGCTTTTGTTTTTCTTGAAAGTCGTCTACTGCACTGTAGTCTGGGTAATCTCTTGAGATTATTTCAAGTTAGAAGAATCTATCTCCTAACGTGTGAAGGGCAGCTGCCTTAGCCTGCCATGAGACTCACCCGTGTTAGCCAGGTATATGTGTGACAAGCACCGTTTCAGGCCCATTTTGGCTCTGTAATGTGCTTAATGTCTCATAGGCTAGCGCGTGACAGCGGCTTTCCGAAGCAAGGTCAGTGACGCCAATCAGGGCCAGGACCAGAGGCTGAAGAGGGAGCTGCCCCATCTCCATCCTGTTTTCTTTACTGAGAACAACTTTGCACTCTGTGAGGGGCTAGGAAATATTTCCTATACACGTTCTCTTTCTATGCTATTTGGTAAGTGGCAGGGTTTGAGGATCTAAGCCTGAAGCCATAGGCCTAGGGTCCTAGCTGCGCCCTTGACCTTAAGGCTGTGCTCTAGGACATTAGGTTTCAGGAAACAGAGGGAGGATCGCAACATCACTCTAGCTCTCCCAGAACCATCACAAAAGTATTAGAAATAAATGCTGTCTATGGTTATTCAGTTTTTAAATAAGAAAGAGAAGCCCAATGGTCAGCTGGTAATTGTTTGGGAGGTAGAGACCACCACCTTTGCAAGTTCTGCACGGTGTTGGCAAACACAGTGTCGGGCTGAAGTCTCAACTTGTGCCAGCTCTGCCGCGCTTGGCCTTTATATTCATGCTGTAGGTCTCTGGAGACTCGAGCATAAAGAGTTGAAATATCACTGGGCCAGCACTAGAGTTTCTGGTAAGAGAATGATTCTAGCCAAAAAGGCTGTTCCAGGCTTTAGGAAATGAACTGCCCATCAAGTTGGGATTATGACCCTCTTTTAAAAAAGAACACCCTTGGCTGGGCGGTGGTAGTGCACACCTTTAATCCTAGCACTCAGGAGGCAGAGGCAGGCAAATCCCTGTGACTTCGAGGCCAGCCTGGTCTACAAGAGCTAGTTCCAGGACAGCTAGGACTCATACACAGGGAAACCCTGTCTCGAAAAACCAAAGGGGGAAAAAAAGAACACCCTTGTCTACAGGCCTTTCTTGGATGTAGATGAGATTGTTATGGTCTCCCTCTTCTCTTGGTGCACTGGTAAGCCAGGTATTTCTCCTGGCCTTTCAGATTCCTAGCACTGCTGGTAAGTCACTCGCTCACAGAGTAAGAGACATAAGAGCATTGGTCATATTGGAAGAGCTCTTGCAGAACTCAGGCTTTGAAGACTAGACAGCATCTCACATCGTACACCTAGGCTGGAGGAAAGAGCCCCAGAGCGCCCCCCCCCCCCGTGTATTTTGTCATCAGTCTTTGTAACACCTCTTGTTAGCCTCGCTTAAGTTCCTTGTAGGAAATTAGTGCAAACCCGCTGACGCATGTCAGGTAGTCTGGAGCAGGCTCTGAGTGGGCATGGATATTGGCGGACAGGGAGAAAGGCGACACGGAAAACTTGAGCATAGAAGGCTAGGGGTAGAAAAATCAGTCCACATATCTTGGTATTTTGAACTTGAGACATGGACAGTCTGGGTTGACTTGGGGTTCAATACCTGCCTCAACCAACTCCATGTTTGGGCAGTTCAGAAAGAATTCCCCCACTCTGATGGTTTAGGCGTGTCAGGTTCTCCCTTCCACTTTTGGCTTCACCATCATCTTCCACTTGCAGTAGCAGGGGAGGAACAAAAAATAGCCTCGCTTTACAGATCCCAGCTGAACAGCTCTGACTTTGGGCTAGCTCATTGCAGCAGCCTGGGGTGCTTTCCTACCACCCCATAAAAAGCAGCACCTAATGGAAAGTTAGCACATCAAAAGTTCCCAGAATACAAAAGGGACCTGCAGCTAAAGTGACTTTTTTTCTCCCACCTCTATGGATCAGTTAATAATACATTTTTATACAGTCATGTTTTGAAATATTACAAAATATATAACACAAGTCAAGTCACTTTTTCTGAGAGATGGTTTAATAAGTTAGCGTTACTCATCCATTAATGATTAATGTCAGCGGCGTCTGAAAATTTCTGTGAAGCAGGGACTTCTCTGGGCTTGTTGGCTCGCCACACATAGTACTCCAGCCTCACTACACATGGACTCTTCAGAGTGCAGCAGGAGAAAGCACCAGAAGGAACAGCCCCTCTGAGCCTGGCTGATCTTAAAGGTAACCCAGCTGGGGCAGCTCAATTAAGTCCGTGAAAACACGTGACCAAGCTAAACGCAATCCAGTAACCAGCCAATCGCAAGGGGCAGAAAAGCCCTGCCCAGCTTCTCACGCTCGGGACAGCGGAGCCAAAGGCTCAGGGGCGCTGGGAGATTAAATGCCCCAGCCATAAGTCGACAGACTGCTTGACCACACACTTGAAAGTTCGCTCTCACTCCAAGACACACGTGACCGCACACAGGCCGGCCTTCTAAGTTATCCGGCGACTGGAGATGGGCACTGTGGACTCTAGAGCTGGGACAGTATTCTGCCCTAATTACCTAGAGCTGGTTGGCAAGCAAGCTCTTTGGTGTCACCTCTTAAGACCTCTTAAGTGACTTGCCAAGGAACAAACGGGACCTTGTTGGGAAGGCGTCTTATTGCCTGCTCTGGAAAGTTGTGCGACCAAGATGGGAGACTGAAAACACAGGGACCCCAAGTCAGTGCGCTGACCCCTGGGGACATACGATAGTGGCCCCCGTCCTCCCCAAGCTACAGTCACACCCCAGCTCTAGCACTACACCTTCGATCTATTGTGTAGGATAAAGGCTAACTGCCGTCACTATACTGGGACTCAGTTTCTTTGGGGGGAAGCGTAACCCAGAAAGAGGCTCGGCAAAGTAACCTGATTAAGTCTGGGTCCTACTCCCCTCCCCCGTTCAGTTATCACAGAGACTATACAAACGCCGCATTAGCGGCGGAATCCCCGGGGAAGGAAGGAAGAAAAGCACTCGGAGGACAGTCCAGTTGAAAGCCACTCTTGGAGCCTGAGAGACGGCTCGGCGCCTGGAGAGTCGCAGTCCCGGTGCGCAGGCTGCGCACTTGTCATGGCTCGGCCTCCAGGCTGCCGCCCACCGAACGTGCGCTTGCTCACGGCTGCGCGAGGACTCCCTGCCCGGCTGGCACCTGGCGCCCGGTGTCCTCGGAGACGCCCACCTTCACCCACTGAGAGCTCTCAACCCTGCTTAAGTCTGAGGGGCGCACCCGGGCTTTCAGGCCCGGTGCTCTGCCACGGTCCTAACAGCCCGCCTGGCAGAGGAGGCAGAACCATTGTTCAGTGCCTCCAAAGCTCACATCCCCAAGCCCTTGTCAAGGGAGATGAAAACCGTGTAAAACAGAGGTTCTGGGAAGAAAGGGGACATAGGGGGATGACAACAAGTTCAAGGGACGCTTTAGGACACCCTAAACCCCACCGTCCCCGGGGCCCAGCTCTTAGTAGCCTCGGTTCTGACAGCTCAGAGGCGCCACCCGGGCGGGGAGGGGAGGCAGGAGAGGAGCGCGGAGAGGCGCCTCCTAGGAGGGGGTTGGCAAGAGGAGCCTCAGAGCCCCCCAAAACGCAGCGATCGCGGGCGCCCCGGCTTGTTACGGGCCGAGTGCGGAGGGGCGCGTCCCCACTCACCGCTTGCAGAGGCGCCGCTGTCCCGGGGCGCCCAGCACAGCGCGAACAGCAGCCACAGCGCCCAGCGCGCGGACGTGCCCATGCTGCCCGCCCGGATGGTGCCGCCGCCGCCGCCGTCGTTGTCGCCGTTCGCTCCGCACAACAAGTTACCAGCCCTTCGGAGAGGAGGAAGGAGGTGGGGGCGGGGAGGGAGGAGGCAAGGAGGAGGGGGAAGGAGTGAGGAGCCCGGAGGACGGAGAGCGCGGAAGGAGCGGGTACCCCTTCCCTGCAACTTGAACGCTCTACTCCCCGCCAGCCACCCACCCAGCCACCCACTCGGTCACCTCCCCCCGCCGAGGCCGCGGTGTGCTCGCGGACCCTGCGGGCGGAAAATAATGCAGGCGTTGCAGAGGAGGGGAGGGAGAGGGGAGGGGACGGCGCGGGAGGAGGGGGCGGGGAGCCCGTTCGCCGGGGACAGCGAAGGCGAGCGGTCGGGGCACCCACTCGGGCGGCGATAGGAGCACGGCAGAGCGGCACGGGGACCCCAGCGAGGGAGCTCAGTTCAGCAGCTCCCGCACTCACTGCTCTACCGCGTGCGGTGCGGAGGGTGCGGGGGCAAGTGGCAGCGTGCGTGCATGAGTGGCAGAGGCTCGGGCTGTCGCCGCCGCCATCCGGACGGCTCTAGGGGCCCGGCTGCTCCGCGCGTCCGCCCGGGGCTCACGGGGGACCCGGGGCGGCCGCTGGTTGGCTCGCACACCGTCCTCACCTCCAATCCCGGGTGCCTGTCCTAATTTCCTGATCCAGGGAACCTGCGGCCGCAGCAGCTGTGCGCTCCCTAGCTCCCTACAGTCGCTACTGTACCCTCCTGGCGCCGGGGCCGAGAGCGCTGATGCAACTATTGCTGCTGTTGCCACCGCCTCCGGGCTGTCAGTTGAGGGGTCTGGGGGCGGCAAGAAACCCTCTATCTCCCTCTCCTGAGCCCATAGGAAGGGCTGGTATTGTGAGGTCGGTAGGTAGCATCTTCCTGGGGACTCTTCTTTCCAGCCTGAAAGTGATGAAGAGGAGGGTTGCGAATCTCCGCTGCTCTGCTGTGGGGTTCGGAGTCCCGTCTCAAAGGCAAATTGAGATGCCATTTTGTTAAAAATTAAATGTGTCTTTAAGTAAGAGTGTGTGTGAGAGAGAGAAAAACAAGAGAGCTCTCGTGGTTGTGGCTTTTCCTCTGTAATAGAACAAGACTAAAATAACCGAGTCTGGGACGGGGAGGAGGGAAATTGCCAGCGCAGCTCTGCATTCTCTCATCAACGATTATAGTTAATTGCTAATTGCACAAAATGATAGTTTGAGGGCATGTAATTAAAAGCTTAACCTTTTTTTTTTGGTTGGGGGATGGGGGCCCGGGTAGATTTCTTCTTGGTATACTTAGTAACATTCAATTATAAGCCTTGTGGAGGCAAAGAAGGAAGAAGCAAAGTCAACCTTCCCAGAAAGGATGGAGTTTTGGGTTTTTGCCAGACAGGATCCGAGTCTTAAGATTTGCTCTTCCCGTCCTTCAGTTTTCTTGAAAACCTTCCCCCAGTTGAGATGCCTTCTCTACTCTGGCCTAAGCAGAGTAAAGGGGTGCACTGAGCTAATTCACTGCTGATATAGTGTGTGAACTCTCCTTTTTATAAGTCCCTGCAACTTGAAAGAAACAAAGTTGACAGATTTCAGATTTCCTGTTCTAGCTCTCTTCTGGCTTTGTACTCTGCTCGCCTTGGTTCTCCTGAGCAATTGTCAGTGGCAGGCTTCTAGGGGGGATGTTTATCTAGAACTTCCTGTACCCAGAGACAGGGTAATTCTCAGCCAGGACACATTTTGGTCCCTATAATTTATCCTCATTTTGATTGATAAGCCCACATACAGAAGCAGTCTTTCTAAGCAGCTCAGGGTGAATGCTGTTTTGTATAAACTGGTGGGTAGGAAAACTGCACCAGCCACACACATGTTGTGTGACAAACCAAATTCATGCCATTTCACAGTACAGGTGTTCACAGCTGTTATTTACCTCACAGACCAAGTTGAGGGGGATGGTCTAACTTTCGGCCTTCAGAATCTTCAGCATCCCTGGGACTTGAAAAGTTCATGGTCACTCTACCGTTAGTTGATGGAATGGGGGGAATGAAGGTGAAGTTGTCACGTGCTTGTTTTTTTTAATGTTTTCCTTGAGAGAGAAAGGTACACCACAAGGGAAATATTGATATGGTACAGTAAGACTTATCTTTGACAAACATGTGTTCTGCTTCTTAACATGAATAAACTCTTGGTGGATTTAGTTATGGCTCTGTATTCCATCCTGCAGCTTTTTGGTCAGTCATTTTCACTCTGCCTCTGATTGGCTACGCAACTTCAAATTACAGAATCCAAACCACTCCTTTTTCTTTGCCTGCCCTCTGACCTGTAGACTGCAAACAAAAACAGCCCATGTGATAAAGTTTTCTGTGGCCTAAGAATCAGCTGTCTTTGGCGTCCATTATTTATCAGAGAGAAGTGACAAGGAGGCATGCATATGATTAATATAAAGAGAATAACCAATAACTCACAGAATAAATTGATCATGAGTAGATGATGTGCACCAACCGACAGGGATTCAGGAGCCTTTGGGTAACAGTGTCCGTGATCCTCTTTACTCCCATGGTCCGCCACATGAGTCAGTTTGTCTAAACAACACACACTGAGCCATGCTGGAAGGGTGGTGCTAGGCAAGGTAACCGCCATACATAGATGCTCGTCTGAAGAGGCCATGGGAGCTAGTCCGGGTAAGACAAACATGTTGAAAATTCCAGCCTGTTACACGCAGCATTGTAATCCAGAGTTGTTTGAGATGCTATAAAATACAGAGATGAGGCCGGGGCTGTTGCTCTGTGGTGGGTTGCTTGCCTAGCATGCACAAGGTTGTGCCTTCCATCTGAAGCATCGCAAAATGAATGCATGCATGCATGCATGCATGAGATTACAAGGAAAAACCAGCTGGGTTAGTTGCAGGAGGAGGCCATAAGAAAAGACCTTCTCAGATGCTTGCCCTTGTGCTGATGTAGTCAGCATTTTTTCACCCAGTAAGTCACATCCTGCCTCCACCTTTTATTGTTGGTTGAGTGAGACACTAACTTTGACTAATTAATGGACAGAAGTTCTATCCTTCTGGGCCTGTGGAGTTGTTTGTGTGAGACTCTCTTTTTGTCTTCCTGGCAACAGGGAACATTCAAGAAGTGGCTGTGCCATTTGTCCAGGTTTCTCATTGACTGTGTGAGTCGCTGTACACACATCTTTGATGATACCTGTGCATGAGAAGGATTCTAAATACACTTTAAAGGCTTGGAGCCATATACTCACCTATCATAGACCATGTTACTCACAAAGCCTAAAATATTCTCATTTGTCCTGATAGGGAAAAGGCTTGCTGACCACTGACACAGAGAGAGGAACCAAGCTATGTTGACTTAACCTGCAGAGAGTTTGTGCACAATGTCACCTGGGGGTAACTTGACCAGTGCTACACTGAGAGAGGGAAGGAAGGGCTCAGAGAGTTGAGGAAGCCAAGGCAGGAGAGCAGCTTGTGTTCAAGGCAGAGTGAGAATTTAGAATTGCTCAAGGGACTAGAGGTGGGAAGCTGTCCTGAAGAATGAGGCAGGGACAGGTTTAGTGGGGCTTGGTGAGTCACCCAGAGGCTTTGGGACTTACCATAAAGCACAGGGAGGCCTGGGGGTAGAATTGATCAGGGGTTTGGCATCCAGTTTCTTTTCAAAAGGTGACTCTGAAGTGGCCTGAGATAGGGCAGAATAACATCAGAGGAGGGAAACCTAGAGATGTTGGGTGGTGGAGTGTATTAGAGAACGGAAAGAAGAATTGTTGCTCTCAGCGCAGACTCCCAGACCTCTTCCTCGAAAATCCTGCTTTGATAGCGCCTCAGAAGTCTGTATATATAATTTTATTCCTGTGATTTGGGAGGCAGAGATGATCATATTTCAATGTATACATCCATAAAATCCCTCTGAAATAAGTTATTTAAAATGTATAAATGTATGAAAGAAGCTGTTTTTAGAGAATGACTCCAATGTGGTTTTATTTGAGAAGTGGGCGGGTTTTTTTCTGTGGAAACTATGTAAATTTATTTGTCCAATTTCTTTGACTCTTTCATCAGGGCAGGGACCACAGAAAATGACAAAGTTCATCCCCTTCTGTCATCTCCCCTCTTCAAAGTCCTGCAGTGAAGACATATAGGTCTTAGAAGTCTTCTTCCAACCAGCTGACTAATTTGTACTGCTGATCGCTGAAGCCTCGGCAAGCCAGAGCGAACAGAGCTGACCCTCTCTGATGTACTGAGATGCTTACACCCAGGCCTCCCTTCTACCCCTCTCTAATTGTGTGAGAGGCTGGCGGAAACCCCAAGATTTGCCTTCTCTCCTGGTCTCATGGCAAGGCCTGACGGTGTAAACTAAGATGTCACACATTTTTAACTTCCATCAGAGCCACTTGAAAAGTCAGTCTCAGTAGAGTGCCTGGCTCCACCCCCAGAGTTTGTGATTCAGGGCGCTGCTGAGGATTTGGAGTTTTTGACATACTCCCCAGGAATACTGACCCTGTTAGTCAAGGAATGCCCATTGAGGATCACGCCTTAACCCACCCGTGGAACTTCCTCCTTTAAGAGCGTGATTATTCAGAGCCATCCTCAGGTACACCATTCAAGGCTTAAGCCCTAAGCACCTTCCCCATCTGCTGAGTTGTGGGGAGGTCCAAGAACTTAGGTTAGAAAGACATTTGCTTCTAACCAATGTGGCTGGGGGTTAAGGTCAGAACTTGTCATGGTGACAGCATGAAGGAAGCCGATTTGGGGGTGACCTGAAATGCATGCAGTTTCATCATGATGGTTCCAGTTTGGAACTTTGACGAGATTTGCTTGTGGGTAGAAGCAATAGATCTAATGTTTTCTTAGTTGGTTATGTGTGTGCTTCCTGTGACATCACAGGTAGTACTCCATGAAAGAGACATGTGCTTCCTCCTGAGCTGGCTCTTTGGGACGGCACTATCCAAACGTCTTTATTGGTTCAGAAATGTATTTACTGGAGTTCAAATCCTGAACACAAGCAGCTTATCTCGGGATAAAAGGTGAGGCCTAGATTTTGAAACTGCTTCGACCTAGAAACAGCAGGTAGTTTGGAGTGATAGGAAAGCAGATTAACTTAAAGTGAGTGAAGGTACCTGAGAAATCGGTGAATTAAGGAAGATGCTGGTGTCTTCTCTGAGTGTTTGTTCAGAGCTTCTAGGTCCCTGTGAAAGATCTGGGCTCAAGACTTGGCGTGAGCTGATACACATATTTAGAACTATGATCCAGAAGGTGATTTTCTTTGCACAGGATCCAGAGAGCACCCTCTAGGTGCCTGAAAGTGACTACGGAGAGGAAGTGTGGGTCAGTGGTTAAGAGAGGGAATGGAGGCAGGCTTTTGGTGGCATGAAGCCTGACTCTGATGCTTACTGGTTGTAAGAACTTAGCCCAATTATTTAAACTTTTTGTATCAGCCCTCCCGGACCTGGAAGTGGGTTAGCAAGCATACCCACTTCTTACAAGAATCAATTACATTCAAACAATTGCTCAAAACAGCATCCAGCACATAGCAAGTTATGAATAAAAGGTTCCAATTGGTAATAAC